TTCTGAATTAAAAATAGATTTTTTGGAGTAATATTCTCGTTGGTTAAGGTCTTTAGAATGTTAGGTTTCTATCAAATTTTTAAATTGACGAGATTATAATTGTTTATATTGCAGACCTATTAAGTTGATTAATCCTTTGACTACAACGACGTGTGAGACTCCAGGTAAGAAATTTGGGCCATGAACCATAAGCGCGTGTCTGACTCGTGGTACTTCGTTCGGACTTCCTACCTTTCTGTTTACTATACCCCAATTTTTTTATTTCAGTAAACAGTAGAGCAGTTGACATTTTTGAGAATCTTGTACAATACAAACAGGATTTATGTAAGGAGAATTTCTTGTACAATGAATAATAATTATTTCTAAAGAAATATTCATGGATCCTTCGCTGTTAGATCCGAAATTCTGTTCGAATAGGCTCTCTGCTTTTTCTATTCCCTTATCGATTTCCGGTCAATCTATTGAAGGAGACGTGGCTATTCCTTAAAGCGGAGAGGTTTCGACGCTTCGCCACTCGTAGCTCCTAATCGAAGGTCTGACTTCGTTCGTGATTGTTAATTTAGCGGCGTGGTAATGGCCGTGATTAAAACTGAACTCCGGTCTGAACTGATGGTCGAAGCTTGATCTTCAACGCACGATAGGTGAAGAGAAAGGTGAAGAATTTCTGTGATTGCGCTCTATCTGTTGACCGTAGCGAGTGGAAACGTTGCTTCCAACGTTGGGGAAAATTCAATTCCCGTTGGCGGTTTGTTTCCAATAAATGAAACTTATTGATCGACAACACGCATCACTGACAGATAGCATTCGTTCAACAAAAAACACTTTTTTAAGAGAATTTTGAGGGGATTTCTAGAGGCTGCGCAATCTTCATGGTAACAGAAAATCGAATCAATTTTTTCTCCCTTGAAATAAGAGTTTGGCGTTTTGATAATAATATGGATTAATTTTAAGGGCAGTATATTTGAGAAAATTACACTGTAAGTTGTCGCTAAAACCTGTCTAGTTCAGACAATTCGAGCCTGAACTGGTGGATAGTGATCAGGTTTGGGAGAGTACAATCACTGTTCCATTCATGGGATCCTTTATTTGAAGATTTAGTCTGGCTGATACGAGGTTATTCGCTAAACTCTATTAATACAGTTTTCCTTGATAAGGAATATAACCTCTAAGTGAGGTTCGGATTTTACGGCCACAGTTTCAGGATAGATTGGTATCGATAAACAAGTACGCTATTCATACCTAAACGAGGCGAGAGAACCTTCCAAACCCGCGACCGTTATCGTAGCTTGCCGCTCAGGCTGTAACAAGATCGATACTTAATCGAGACAATCTGTAGGACAAGTAGGTGTTCCAGGAATTGAGCGATGTTACATAAAGCATCGATTTTCTGAAAATAGCCTCATTGATCTCTGATTACGTATCCATAAACCTCATGCAGAACGTCGAGCATTCACCGATGCTTTTAAAATAATTCATAAGCATAATTTCAGTTTTGAAAGCGTCAAATTGCAATAATTACACAACTATATCTGCATTACACTCAGGATTTACTGCTGAACTAATCGTTAAGGCTGACCCAGTAAACTTTGTCTTTTAGACGCGATTAGAGTTGCCTAACTTTAGCTTTAATGTCCTTAGGTCGAATCTCCAATAGTGAACCAATGCTCTTATCAAAATTCAGTTGGTTAATGATATACAATAATACAACCAATTCCACCATAGTCTTGCAGTATCTGTCGAACTATGTTCTCCTACAATTGATTGTAAGAATTTTAAAGGCACAGAATTTTTCTTAAAAATTGTCACGAACGTCTTGGACAACCCAATACACTGACAAAAGTATTTTGTTATTAAGAAACTAAATTCTAAAGCTTCTTATAAAAATCTTTTATATCTAAACAAATTTTCTTCGTCTCCAAGATACGTGTAACCACTGTATAAAAGGAAAAGTCCCCTCGCGTTGATTTCCTTGAAATTAATTTTCAAAGGAGGCTCCATTTAGGAGCAATTTGCCTGTGTCTAGTCACTTTGAAGTGAAAAACATGTGCCGATGAAGATCCTAGCAATCGGAAAGGATAAAGAGGCCAGATGACGGCGCGGCTTTGCGCGAACAGAACCGGAGTTTTGAACACGGAAAGTTATTTACCGTCGCGTGGGGGTCGCCGCGACTTCCCAATCACCTTTGCCTCACTGAAACTCGATTTATCCTAGGAACAATTGTACTGCCGGTTGCGTCTAGTCCATCCGCCGTTCGCGTGTGGATGTGGCAAACGCTTGGCTGCACTTTAATGAGCTTCAACGTACTTTACCCAGAGGGCGAGCTTCTTTCTGAATGGAGCAGAAAGGCCAAGCAATTATTCAGTTGATCTCTCAACCGTTAATGCGACCTGTTAGCGGTTGCGCTATCTCGATGGGAATCGTTTTTCCATTTTCCATACGGATGTACATTACCGCAGGAACCAATTTCCATTTGTTATAGGTCCATCATGATTGCAACAAAGTTGGCAAACTGATTCGTTCGCATTTCGACATTTTTCCCCTGATTGTGCTTATCCGCTCGCGATTGCTATATCCTTGTCTCTATAATGGCTGCCACTGCGGATTTAAGAATTTCCTTCCCCTCTTCCTTTTAGGAAAGGAGGTTTTTCATTTGAACCATTACTGTCCAAGATGGGGTACTTCGTGGTGTCATGGTTAAATAATGTTTAGTACGCACGAGCATGCTTGGTTTAATGCGATAGATTTATAAATTAACTGAATTTTTTAGGAATTAATTTCAAGAAAAGGAATGCAAGTTTAGAATTTTATTATATACAGTTGTGTGAATAATTATAGGTTCAAAGGTAAATGCTTGATATTTTAATGAAAGAAGTGGTTAAACTACGTTATAATCTATTTGATTATAATTATATTTCGCGTTGAAAGAAATATTTTAAATATGAACGTATAATTTAGAACCCATAGTCTGACACTTTTTTTACTTTTATCGTTTCATATAACGAACAGTCAGCCACGTAAATCTGCATGCGCTCGTGTGAAACGATGTTTAAAGCTAAAATACGAATGCGCGCTGTTGTAGGATTATTTATATTTACTGCAAAAAAATATCAATACGTACACCGACGGGAACATGTGCTTTTTAATATACCCGTGGCATTTCGATGCACATTTTCACGACCATTTGTTTTTCATACGTTTTCTTAAAAACAAATCGAATAAATATTAAAAGCAGAAATACCGATATTATTTTTATTTTCAAGGGCTACCGAATCTTATCGAATCGATGTAAAGCAAAATTGATAAAAAAAGCTTTTATTCTAGCTAGCATTTTATTCTACAAATATTTCAAGAATACTCGACCGAACAAAACTATCTATTGTACACTATTTTTATGGTTTTTGGTATTTATACCCTCTAAACGTTCTTTTAACCACCGCTGGTCGAAATGGGTTATCCAGTGCACGCTTGCACGTGTCTATACAACGAACAAAGAAGCAGATTCTTCCACGATCGAAGCCTAGATTTTCCCAACGAAAATTCCCGGGACTGAGATTCTGTCGTATACTCGATAACGCACATTATCACTTATCGGGAGTGTCACAGCCGGCGATGCGCCATTCACGTTCTTCCCTTCGAGCCGTTGAAGCATAATTCTTCGATAAATTGTAGCTTCGTTGCTATCAACCTATTCAGAATCATCGGTCGATTTGACGCCGCTCGCAAAATATGTCTCATCGATGTCGAGGCCACGCGAAATCGGAATCCATTCGTGGCTCCATCCGAAAATAATTGACAGATTTCGGTGTAAATCAGCGGAACACTCGATAACCAGTTTTATTCATTTCTCTGCCTGACAGGATATTATTTTCGTTCTCCTTTTTCTTGAATTATCACTGTAATAAATTAGATGGAAATATTCTTGTTGTGATGGTTATTATCTTTACAGAGACATTTTAATTCCTTGAAAATTAAAACTGTGAATTGTACCTTCTTTTTCTTGAATCGTCACTGTGATAAATGAACTAATGGAACCATTTTCCCCTTCAACTCAATCGCCAGCAATAAAATACTAAATTCCAAATTATAAATAAACAACGTTGCAATTTGTACTGCGAATAATTGAAATAACTGTACTCGTTACTTTTTATCCGTGACAGTTCAAGCAAAAAGAAGATGAAAATAATTACGTGTTACGTGGAAACGCGAAAGAAATTGTTTATCGAGAATATTCCAACGTATTGTTTTCATCGACGGTGTACAATTAATTTTATCGCGAGAGAAATGAATTCTGGTCCCACTGCATGGCAACGTGGGGATCACCAAATAAATTCCCGCGACAAATGCGTGCTAGTGACACGCGAAAAGGAGAAAACAAAAAAACTACACAAACAAAAATGAAAAAGAAGGGTGCTTTACTTTCACAGCGTGCTACGACAATGGATTCTGAATTTTTAACGTAAGTACTACCCCGGTATCTATTCAGCGTAGCCTGTTGCAGGATGGAGAACCGTGGCGTGAGGTGAATTTTTATCACTTGAAAGTAGTGATTCGAGTACACGATTGCGTCGACGTCTGGATAGAATAATGGTTTACTCAATGATTTCCTGCCTTACGATTAATAAATATTAGTCATTTGATTAACAACTAGAACCATTATAAATCAATGTTCTCAGAGTCAATGAAATGCACGAGTGCTCGTTCCGTCGAATTTATTGGTAACAGTGTTCCAGATCAACGAGTGATTCAAACATTGTCATAAATGGTAACCTGCGCGTGATATGCCCAGTAAATATATTTAATAAACGGAAAAGCTTGCTGTTCATCATACTCATTCTTTGCAAAACTATCCTTTAAACTTTTCCTCTAAACATTCTAAACATATTGAGAAAATATTCAGAGAAAATATTCATTAAACAATGAAACCTCTAAAACACCAAAACAAATGGAAATTGACAGACCGTCGTAATCAACTATTGAAATTGATCGAACGTGGCGCTTACCTGTCGATAGAAATCGCCATCAAGGTGAAGACGCTGGCGCAAATGGTAAGCACCGCGATGAACTGACAGATCTTGCAATAGAGAGTGCCAAACGGCCAATGGCTGTTCAGCATGTAGATGTAGTTGAACGTGACGTTTAGAGTGGACACCAGCGCGTCGGCTATGCTCAGGTTCACCAAAAAATAATTGGTGACGGTGCGCATCCTCTTGTGCGCAAGCACGATCCAGATCACTATCAGATTGCCACCGGTGGCGACGATTATCATTCCCGCGAACAATAACGTCCAGATCATTTGTCTCCACCATGGTAGCACGAATTGGTTCCTCTGTTGGAGATCGGTTATGTTTGTACCGTTTGTGGTGTTGTAGTAGGTATAATTGTCCATCCACGATGTGGTGTTCCAAGGATCAGGAGTGGAGTTCATGAATACCTCGAGGGTCTGCATCGCTTCCATCGGTTTAACAAATAATTTCAATTTACTTAGGAACGAATCACTTACAATTTAAAGGATAATTGTACTTTAAATGGATTTTACATCTATTTACACGTATGACACTTTAAAATTATTTTTTATATTTAGTTTTATATTACACCAACGACATCGAAGTAAATGTATTTTTGTTAGAAATGTTATGATAACTCCAGGATAGCGTTATTCTTTAGTTTCATTGTTACACAAGGTAACAGAATTTTAATTAGAAGCAGAGTTTAAAAATAAAATTATCATGGTTAGATCCTACACTTTGCACTACAGTTGAACTTTTTCAAAAATCCTTGCTAGCATACATCTTTTCGAGACAGAATTCGTCACACTGTACACAAGTAAACCTGCAGGATTTCTCAGTTCTCTTGGAACAGTCTTCAAGTTCGTAGATCATTCTTTGAGTTGGAAGAAATTAATCGAAATCTTCAGGATACTTATAATCGCTGATATTAGGCGGACAGTCACGTACCTGCCAGACTCAGCTCCATTTCATGGCCCCGTTTAAGGAAGCTTCCCATCGGACGTAACAAATCTGAGTTTCACTCCAGAAGAAAACGCGGGAAACCGAGCTCGCTACGCTGACACACGACCTCCACTTCCGTCACAGGGACAGGTTCCTGCAACAGTTCACTCTTCGACTGCTCTACCGTCCAACTCGTCCTATATCGACTCGTATTGTTCGTGTAGGTTATCCTCGAAGGTGAACGAGATTTTTTTCCCCAATATCGATACGATGATAAACTTTTCTCGCTGGCGCCATCGCGTTCAGGCTATTCTATCGCGTTCGCTTCTATTACCCAGCACCGTTGGTCACCTACGATAATCCTCCTCCAGCGAGTAGCTTCGATTTAGAATCATTTTGACGTATCCTTGACACTCGAGCTCTTCAATCTCTACTATACACTTCAACCGAAACAGCTTCAACTTCTATGCTTTTCCAAGCTCTGTGTCAAAACTTGAAACACTTCAACTCTAACAGGTTCCTTCGACTTCTACGCTTTTAGATTTCAAACTCCATCTCAAAACTTTAGATTCAATTTTGTTATATAACTAAACAGATTCCTTTCACCTCCATATTTTGATATATCAAGCTCCGTCTCAAAACTTAAAATTCTTCCACACAAACCTTTGTTCAGCTTCTAAGCATGCTCCACGTTTGGATAGAGTATTTTTCTCCGTCGAGATTACTCGTTCTTTCTTCCAGAGGTTCTTTCTTCCCCCATGCAATCTGGCAATCTACCCATGTTTTCCCAACGCGTTTTTCCGCCATGAAAGCCGCGTCTCTCTCATTGTGTTCCAGCTTTTTTAAGTTCCAGGGTTTCTTGGGTAATTATCTCGAAAAGTTTCGCGCGGTATTGTTAAAAGGGATCCCCCCTCCTGGGACTCCCCGCGACTTCCACAACCGACTTATTCGGATTTGATCGACAGCGTTGGCGAGAAGTTCGGTATACTGCGGAGTGTTCCTTTGTTCCAGTGCATTTGAATATACTTAACGGCTAGTGACCAGGACGGAGGCGGGGATACTGTTGTTCCGAGGAGCTTCTGTTCCTCTGGTGCTTGTACTTTTTACCGTCTGTTCTTCTCTAAGAGTCTCCGCTCGAGGCTACCACTTCTTGGCGGTTTCAATTTCCCTGGCGTTGACCTGTCTATGCAGAATTTTAATGCCCATTCTTCTGGGCTTCCTTCACCCTCTGGAAACGGTAATTTCATTCGTGTTACTTTATTCTTTAACCGAAGTGTCTTGTCGCGAGTAATTCTCGTCAAATTGTACCCTGGAGACCGGCTTTGGGAGATCTGTCTAATGCTTGGTCGATTCAGAGGCTCCTATAACTGAAAGGTACTTATTTTTATTGGAAGTCATTAAGACCCGGCAATTTAGCGTGCATTCTTCTGGACCTTTTCTCGTTTCTCAGAACGATTACTTCATTTGTAACTCGTCTTTTTGTTGTTAAAAAAGGACTTGTCTTTGTTGGAATAAATCCTCATTAAATTGTTGGGATAAATCCTCGTCACATTGTACCCGAGAGACCTGGTTCAGAAGATTTGTCTAATGTCTAACCGAATCAGGGTCTTTTTCGTTTGGAAGGTCCTTCTTTTTATTGGAAGTCATACATGCTCGGGAATTATCTAGATAGGGTTTAGTGTGCTTTTTCTTCTGGACCTTTTCTCCCCTTTGACCGCGATAATCTCACCTACGACTCATCCCAGAAGACGACTTGTTAAGATAAATTCTTTCTTAGATTCCCTCCTGAAGACTTGCTCCAAGAAATTTGTCTAGATTTTTATCGATTTCTCGGGTATTTGTTTTCTTACTTGTGGAAGGCTATCTATTTTATCATTTCTCGAAATTTTTTCTAGTTTCTCAAGAATTTAGGAAATGTTCATAGAAGGTCCATCCTTATATTAAAAGTTTTAAAACTCCTTAGGAATTTATCTAGAATTTTAATGGGCATTTGTCTCGACTTTTATCCTCCTCTAAGCCTTGTTCTTATTATAATAAATCTTCATGAATAGATATCCTAGACACTTGTTTCGTGTCATTGTTCACATTTTTCATGAATTTAGAAGTTCTTTTAATAGAGAATCCTTTTTTGCATTCGAATTGAACGAAACCTCTCTGGAATTATCTCTGTAGATTTCTAATGATCATCCTCCTAGGCTCTCTAAAAACGACAGAGCTCTTATTTCAATAAATTCTTATTAAATCCTGGACAATTTCTTTAATTAGATTTCTTTCATAGATTCCCTCTCTTTTTTGATTATTCAAAGAATGACTTTTCTGCGCTACGACCAATCCTCATCAAGATACACTAACCTACTTCAGAAAATTTGTCTAATTTTTTTCCAATTCGGTCACCATTGTATCAAGAAACTTCTTTCTTGCATTACCAACAGAACTCCTCGCGAATCTGGGGGTTGCTCAATATTTTGGCAAACGACTTCATTTGGGATCAATCCGGCGAAACTGCGCGCTGTTCCACGCGAGTGACTTCGAAAGCAGTCTTTCTCTGTATGCGTACCGGTTGTAAACGATTCCAGAACCTATTTCGTATCAGCGCGGAGCCGACTCGGATTCAAGGGACATTTACATTAACGCTGCAGCAGGACACAGCCTCGACGAGGATCGCTTCGTTTGAATGTTGGCGTTCCGGGATGGTACAAGCTGAAAATTGTTTTCAGATATTCGCCAGTTGGAACGGGAACAAGAATGCTTTTGTTCGCGGTCGTGGCCGTTTCCTCCGACAATCCTCATCGGAATCGACGTCCCAGAATCGTCGTTGGATACTTTTTCCTTGGCCTTCGGCCGGGGCTACATCCCTCAGACCGTTTCGTCACGTTCGCAATTTCTTCGGGAACGCTCAGCGGCCCGCGGGAACGGCTCTGGAACATAAATTGCAAAGACATAGGTACTTTAAATTCCTCTAAACTCCACGGTGCACGTATGCGGGATTCATCGTCGGGTCGATTTTTTACCGAGCGAAATGGGCGCGTCGCAGCGTCAAGGGAACATCTCGCCACTTTAAAATTCGAATTGCGGTTTGTAATTTTTTTAAGGGGAAGGAGTGAGTGGATCGAAATGAGAATCAGGGAATCTATAACTCGTTCTATGTAGTTTATTGAGGTATTTTAAGATTGAAAATCTTTTTATTTTCGAACAGCCAAAATTCATGTCCCGTTATTTGATGAAAAATGCTGTGAGGCGATGAAATGGGTGGGCAGTAACAGAATAAATATAATTGAAATGTTACTGTAATAAATTGGAAATTGTTCCTTTTGCCAGGCAAACTTGACGTATAAACGTTCAATCGCAACATTTGTCTTTGAAGTGATTGCATTAGGGCGACACGTACAGTCTACAAACTTGGCCTCTTGCATTAGGTACCAATGGCGATATCTCATATGACGAGATCAATTAATCAGGCACTTAGATACATGCCTCCCGGGGAATCGAATAATTTCGGTATATTCAGGCACAAATATTGTCTTCCCATCCACGTACTGCGTAAATTATACGATAGTGGTGTCGATGTTAATATCTGCTGGTATTGCTAGTCGTGTAATCGAGTAGATAACATTTAAATTATTTTATGTACTTGCTGATTAGTCAGAAAAAGATAAAATTTATTACTGTTTTCAATAAAGCGGTGCAGCATTATAATAACGGCGAACGACGATGAGTTTATAATCCAAGCTATTCGATTTCCATACCCTCCACTGTGCACTTTATTAAACTCCTTTATGCTGAAGATTGCTGAATTATAGAAAATGCGCCCGCGAATATAGCGTTTTGCTGAGCCACGAAACGCGCAAACGATATTAACAGTCCCATAAACGGTATTGTACCTCGGAATGGTGTGAATTGAATTGTAGATTAAATGCAAGTCGTATTTAACTGCTTTCCCCACTCAATTTTTCTCTATAAATAGCTTAAAAAATGTAATACGTTGTTACTCTAGAATGAATTTTCCAGATTAGAAATAAAATACATTTAGATAAGGAAGAGGATACAGATTTAATGAAATTCATTTTAATTTAAAATTTAAAGTAATATTAAAGATTTCTAATATGAAAGTTTTTTTATTAGCTCATTAGCTTATAGCATATAATTGCATGAAATACGTCTGGTTCATAGTTTGAGATTTGTTGTGGAATATATCATGCATTGAGTGGAACTATGCCAAGTTGACTTCTATCACTTGTGATTGCGTGTTCTCGTCTCCTAAACATCTTCACCATACTCGCCTAACATAGAAACTTCAGGAGTGCGTCGATTAAAACTTATCCCAGCTTGCTGGGAGTTCGCTATCAAGCGGTCGCCTCTTTGATAAAAGACTTTTACTCTTCAGCGAGCAAAAAACTCCCGATATAATGGAATCAGGGTGAAAAATGTGCGCCGCATCGAAGCAGGAACGATAAAAGGACGATCGAAGCTGAGATACGAGAGACTCTGAATTAAATTATTACTAATCAAAACAGGTTGATTAAGATGATCGCGACCAGAGTTCGAGAGTTTGGACTTCTCAGAAATTAAATTTTAGTGGCGATGAAGTCAGTTCAGTGCACTGTGATCTTAATTGATTTTTATTTTTCGAATAACACTGATGTGGAAAATAATTCACTCGAAGCTTTTTTTATCTCCAAACAATCCTACAGAAACACCCTCAATATTAAATATGTTTTCCTTTTTTAATAAATGGAGCAAACTGTATATATCCAGTGGCTCAAGACCCGAAAGAAAGATGAGCTTCAAATAAAAATATAATCCAGGTTCAAAGGAACAAGCTCGGAAAGGTTTTCTCGTGCCCCGACGAGATTCCTTGGCGACTTTCTTCGTGATTTCTCGCTATCTTGCATCTCCACGGCTCTCTTCTCCTCGTCTCAACCGCACCCTCATTGTTTTTCCGTCTAGGACAGGGGGGCACAATTTATTCGAAGCGTAGGTGGGTTCGCAGGAGTTCTCTTATTCGAGGAGAGCGTATTCGGGGCGACCCGTTCGCCTCCCTTTGTCGAAACGAAACCGAACACCCAACACAGACCAAATAACCCACCAGCTGTCTCAACCTTTGCATTCAAGCCCGAACGCACGCCTCCGCCTTTTATGCTTCTCCTTTCAACGAGTTTTACGCCCTGGGCTCTGGTTATTTCGCAAGTTTGATCCAAGGACATTATCAGGAACGCCTCTTGCGAGCCACCCCCTTTATCTTCTTCGCGAGATTTCTGTAACCGTTGCTTGCTGCAATCGCTTTCACATTCGGTTGGTAAAATTCTGCATGGGACTCGTCCCCTCGCAGAGGATGAACGGGAGATATATCTTCGAGCATGATGAATAGCACTATGGGGGGACATTTCCTTAGAATAATGGACAATGAATGATGACGAAGCAATTTAGGTGGGCCAACAGGTGAATTTTTGAAATTATGACAACTTGTAGATCTTGCAAGTTGGTATGTTCTTTGGGTGATGTTCTTTGGGAATGTATGAAGGATTTTGCATGAACCTTTTCCTAAACGAAAAATAAACCACGGAGATTCGAACCCGGGATCCTCGGATCCACAGTCGACCGCTTTATTTACACGATCAATCCCGTACCCTATGTTTCGTGTTGTCGTTTGACTCCTTGTTTTTGGGTATGAGAGAACGCGGATGCTGCATATTGAATTGTTCAGAAAGTTCGTGCCGATTTTTAAATGTGCCTTTGAATTTTATATATTTATTAAATTACATAGGTACCATTTTGTTCCCCAACTTTTCCATCTTTTAAGGCATGTATACATGTTATTTGTTTTTAACCATTCCGATATATTCAGACCGGTACCACCTACGAAAAATCGCCACGGATTTTCCAGACAACTCAATACAGGTTATTATTTGCGTGAATGGTGTTCGAAAATATATTGAAGCTACCTACTCCATTAGCGGACTGCAAACAAATCGAAGCTTCGTATAGATTCACTCCACTTTGCTGGATACACATATGCTTGAAATGGCAAACACTGTGCTGCATAGTACAAAACGTGTCTGGTGCGCTACCAGACCTTGGTATTACAGAAACTATCAAAGTGTTTGTCGAGTTCCTTGCGCGCTCGATAACACTCATTCTTGTCCACCCATACCAGACCATTCTTCCTCTCTTTTTTCTTCTTTTCGATCTCTTTCGGTCGTTCGATATTCGCGGTCTTTATTGGTTCTGGACTCGCTTGGTTGCCAGACGAAACGTTATATTTCCCTCGAAGCGACCCCGCGACACCTCGCAATGGGAATTTCTTGTTTCGAAAATCTCCGTTCCCTGGATAACTTGATAATGCGTTTTAAAATTCTATTATTCTAGGAGCACCTTCGAGGTGTCGAGGGTTTCGATTGTGCAAGTATTTATCGGATATATATTTTCTTTAGCATTACATTAGAAATAAAATATTATTCCCATCGTAACACTCTATCTTAATAAACACTGAATTCGAATGAGAATAAGGATTTGTATTTCCCAAGCAGGCGTAAAATTTACCGATCGCAGTCCAATAAAGTCTGTACTTAACGGGTGACTTCTTATTTTCGAAAGCCACCGCTCGAGGAGGAAATTGGATTTGGAAAACTATTGTAAGAAATATTGACGTGAACCAGATGAAATTTTCAATCTCAATTTTGTCTAGCGTAATACTGCGCCAAATCAAATATTATTTGCTCGTAAGAAATTGAGAAATCGATTGCGATCGATAAATTTTGTCTAGTGGGAAGGTTATATGGTTTACGATAAATGGCACTTTCAACGTTTCATGAAGTACGAGATTGTATCTATCGATCTGATTCCAACGCGAGAACAGTATTCCGTCTCCAGGAAAAATGTCTATGCTCGTTGCGATTGAACTTTTACAAATATTTGTTGGAAACTGTATCCGAACTTATGTGCACAATATGGCGGACTGGTGGAAAATAACAGCATGGTGTCGAAAATATTTTTAAAAATAATAATAATAATTGGCCTACTAGAACTGCGTTACAAGTAATAAAATATTCTCAAATCAAATCGTAGGAAATTGAATTTAAAATAAGAAAATTTTTGTGAAGAAATATTTTCAAGTGCCATTTATGTAACCCAATAGAATTCATGGTGTCAAGGGCAAATTTACAATTCAATTATTCAAAGCGTATACATAACAATATTTATACCCATATTTCTATGTATGATACAGATTTTAATTATTTCTTAAATAAAAAATGTACATTCCCCTACAAGATTCTCTCTGGTAATAATGACGTCCATTAAATCTAATACTCTTCGGAAAAGTTTCGAGTCTAAGCCGCGTCCTTTTGAAAACGGTTGCACCGTTTCGCAATATCCGAGAATGGCTTCATCGGAGTCTGATGACGCGCCGATACGGTATCACGTTGCAACGCTGGCGAAACGTCGAAACAGGCTTCCAAAAGAACGTGTCTCGCGCCTAGAGGCTTCAAACAGTGTCGACTCTGGAGGACGTGAAAGTCTCAAGAGTCTTAACGATTTCTTTGCCTGCATAGCTACCTTCCAGATAAGAGGATTTTAGATCTACTCTTTTTAATGGAACCGTGAGTCTTTTATTTCGCGTCTCATACATCTACGGCTCTATGGTTCTTATTTCCGATCATTGGACTACACACAGCACGGTAGTATAGAAACTTGAGTGCAGAATTTTAGAGTTGAGCTGAACGAATGTAAATTTAATTAATTGCATTTAAAATCCAATTAAATAATGTAATATTTAATTGGGATATTAGACATCGATCCAGAAAATGGGATGGAGTGATTTACAAAATATTGTGGGAATATTGTAAGAAGGTCGCAATGGGAACTGTTGTTTAGGATAGAATTACTAGCCAGCGACGCAACTCGAAGCATTTCAATCGTC